TCCTGTCGTCTATTCCTTTCAGATCTTCCTCAAACTCCTGGCCGATGTCAAACTCCATGGAGTAGCTTCTGAATGGACTGAAGGTCCTGATGATGAAGTGATCACCGTTTTGGTTGATGTCTTTGTCGCAAAACACCAAGGTGGCAATTTTCCTAACGGCGATATTTACATCTGCCAGAAGTGAAAGGAGATGGGTGTGAATACGATGGTATGCTGTTGGAGAGTAATTCCACCAATTTTTACAAATATCGGAATTATGGTTTAGATGTAAACATGGTCATTCAGAGTGGCTTGATGTGAAACTCAACAAGAACCTCCAATTTCTTTACAGTGGTGGTGATGGGAACCAGAGATCACAATGTCTGCAGCATGAATACAGCCATTTTAATTACTGTCCAGAATTGACTGAACCTATATGTGCCTCCTGTCACATGTAATATTGATAATGGCAAAATAATGGTACATTTGAAAAATAACATTTTCTTTAAGGATTATTTTGCCTCACAACACCATTACCTGCACCTAGTTCTATGTTAAGGCCAAAATCTTTTCTCAAAACTATTGCAAATTATTATTATCAGACATCAGGCTGAGCATTCATAACCATTTCATATAATAACTTCATGTGATGTAGATTTTAGAGACTCTTCAGACGTCTGGTTCCCATCACCACCACTGTAAAGAATTCTGAAATTTGGTAAGTTTCTCTAGAATGGAGCATTTCACATCAAACCACTCGGAACGACTCTGCATCCTACCATTTAATCATGCAGAACTTTTTGGAAAATCAGTGGAATTCCTCTTTAATATCCAGCAAAAGGAGGGGAATTTTTTAAAAAGCCCCCTTCTAAACACCATGTTCTGCTTTTTTTTACACAGTGAGATAAAAGATCTACAGACTGGCTTAATGAAAGAAGTAAACTGTAGATGATACTCACCGAGAGCTTTCAGGTAGGCTTCAAAGTTCTCATTGCTGATCATTTTCCATAACCCGTGGTAAAGTCCTGGCATTTTTAAACCTTATGCGTTTTCCTCGGGCTTCTGAAAGTATCCTGAGATGTTTTCGATGGCCACCTGTGGTGGAATGCTCGCCTATCAAAGTCCCCAATTTTAACACCACCATATTAATCCTATTACTTGTGATTTAGATTGCACAACAACTCAAACTCCATCTCCCATGTCTCCTCCTACCTTCTCCCTTATTTGCATTTGTATCGGCACACTAGGAGCAATGCTAACGCTCTGACCGAAGGATGACCTTAAGAGAAGAAAGAAAAAAGAGAGAAAACACCATTATTCAGTGTTAATGGGTATTCTCTAAGCCTGCTAGCTTACAGACTGTGAGGATGTCTGTCAGTGATGGAGCTCTTCCAGTAAAATCCCACTGAAATAACATTCCTGTGTCTGTTCTTTTTCCTTATTTGCCTCTTAAGGCTATATGGAACATTTCTGTTAGTGCTAGTGACATTCCTTTCTAATAAAACACAACGCATGGCTACTAGTACTGGTCCTGGCCATTCTGGGCTGTAGAAAAAGGGTGGTCAGGGGTGGCCAGTGCCACCCTAACATAACCTAGCCACCCCAGTTATGCAAAGTGAGACAGCGATCATCAACAAAGCAATTACCAGAGAAATTTTGTTCTACCTACTCTGTGTTTCATCTCATATGCCAGGCAGTTACCCATAAGTCATAAGAGTCAGATGGTGGTGCCCACAATAATTAGCTTGTCATTGACTGGCTAGTTTACTAAGTTTACTCTGATATTAGCCTTGTTCGTTTTGCTTAAAGAAGCAGTTAATAGTGGACACGTTAGGGAAACACAGTTAAAGGCACCTAAATAAATGTATACATTAATATAATGCAGTATTTTTGTTTTGGTAGGCTTATATATTGTGCTGTGGGATCACATGATTTTAACCAGTGAACAGTATTCAGCAGTAAAAATGACACAAGTAACAAAACAAGCAACATTTTTTACTGAACCTGGTCAAAAACAGGAACAAAATCAGTATCAGCTGTGTTAACCAGTTAAAAAAATAATTGTAATAATAATAATAATAATTATAAAAGTTATTTTAGTAAAGTAGGCCTAATGTAAGCAGAGAAGAACATTGCTGCTGATTTATTTCATTTTTTCCAAGTAGTTTGCCACATTATTAAAAATACTGGGTCTGGCCTGGCCATACCATTGTAAACGCTCTGGCTATTCCATGGGGGCCATGGCTTCATCTACCATATGGGTGACCTGGGCGACTGCCCGGTGCACGCAAAAGGCTAGGGCAAGCATGTCAAACTGGGGACCTTCCAGGCCTAAGTGTTGTGGGGATCAGCGTTTACCCTCATCTAACTCTGTGAGTTCAGTTCATGAAGGCCTTAGCTGAGGAACCTTGTGCCAAGCATGAGCTGATAAACCCATTTTTTAAAAGTAAATTGGATACAGTCCTAAAATCTGATTGGCTGAGCCATGTTTGAAACCATCGTAAAATAGGCTGAGGCTGCGATATAAAACCAGGCTGAATATCAAATGGCTCCCCCACTTCCTATATAGTGCACTAGGTAAGTTCTGAAAGTCTAGCTTCTACACTCAAATGGTTCTTTGTTTGTCCAGTATGGAATCGGGCACATGCAGCTGAATGGCCAGATGGCTTTTCTTAGACATATTTTGCACTGTTTGTGTGCAGGAGAAAGTATTTCAATTCCTATGCACTACATAGGGAGTAGGCAGCCATTTGAGATTCAGCCAAAGCATGGGAAAAAGGACGCTTGATGTTTTTACACTAAACAGTGCTGTATTATATTTTCACTATTATAAGACAAAAAGTTAAAAGCAGTAATGAAGGGCGACTTAACATCCCTGCCCTCTTTCAGCAGGTAGCTTGGCAATTACATACTCTGAAGGAACTACGTTCCTTGGTGTAATAATTGTTTATCTCAATTATTATTACTGGTAACTAAAATGACATCGAGAATCTGTACATTCTAATCATATTTTATGTTGTCTGCCATTGTATACAGCGATAGCCACTTGAGGTCGTGCATTACAGTGATTTTATCACGGGTAAAAACTTGTCTTGGGGCTCTCTTTGGCAGTGTTTTCACAAAGCCCCCCAAAAAAGGCTAAAAACAGTACGGGGCGACCATGCATGGTAGATCTGTCCAAAGGAGCAGACGTTCTGGGGCGAATGAACAGAAGTGCCCCATTTACAGCAGGGGTTGGTTACACCAGCTGTTCCTAAGTTTACCATAACCGGTATACTCAGTATTGGTAGATACTTGAGGATCAGGTATGGTTATCAGAAGGGACAAAGTGGCATCGGCGTATCCCTAGGAGAAACATCTGAGGACGACGTGCAGTAGACCCTACAATTGCTTTGTGAAAAAACCCACCACATGCTGCTTGGTAAGAGCTGTATTCTTCTGTGGTGGCCTTAACTGAGCGACTAATCTTTTAAAATGTCACTGAAAGTGCCTTACACTTCGTTTTGGCACGGTGCTCCCATTTGTTGGTATGCCAGAACATTCAACACAGCAGTGTGTTAGTCTCAATGAGCCTATCCCTCTAGCTCAAGACAGCGAGGATAAAGACACTCCCTAATACCCCAAACACAGCACAAAAAAGGCTGTCGAGGCAGGGGCCCCAACGCTGAAAACCACCTCAAACAGTGCACCACCATCAGAGAATGGCAGTCTTAGACAAAATAATCAGAGCAGGCGATTAAAATCAGACAGGCATCACCTGGAATATCCCAAACCACATTTTCCTCTCATTTTATTTTGTCACAGAAGCTCTCACAATGCTCTCCTTCTTGGCAAAGCCGGATAAAAGGTCTTGGGAGAGCTGACAGCACCAATGATACTGTGTACAATTGGAAACGGAGAAGCAATGTTTGCTCTCCAGTGTGTAAAGGCTCTGTTATTTATCTTCTCTGTGACATTCAGTAAAAGTCAACAAATCCCAAACTGGCTGAGCGCAGACATGCAGCTTTGCGGCGAGGTGGAGAACGTAGCTGGCAGGGATAAACACTAAATCCCTTGCAACTAGGCAACCCAGGGAATGATGGGCACAAATGTATTCCCACTCCATTGCGATGTACTTACTTGAAGATTTTCACTTCTTTAGGAGGGGATAATGAAAGTGAATAACCGGTATCAACAGCGATAGATGGTTAGATACAACTGTAGACTCGCTTTGGGTCCCCTGAAGAACCTTAAGATGGGCTAACCTTGATATTTCCATGTCTACATGTGCTGAGCTGATATCAGTCATGTCTGATGTATAATGTATGTTGTTGCTGTCATGTCAAAACCTCATAATTCATGTGTGTTTTTGGTTTTCACCATTTAAAAATGCTGGCTGCCCTTTATACCATATGAACAATCGATAGCAAATGAAGGGAATGGTCCAAAATGACTTGAAATAAAAAAAAGTTAAGAGATTTCCAACTATTTCTCAAAATCTCTGCGTAATTCAATCATTGAGATGTAAACAAAGTCAGAGTGGTTTGATTAAATGATTAATTTAGTAACGACACAACTACAACACCAATTTTAGGGACGCGGTGAAATTTCAGCCACCGAAACATTTTGATTCAGTTTCAGTTTTCAGTTAAACTAGGATACTAGTTTCTGTTAAACTAGGATTCTGGCAAAAAATAAAGGCTTAAATAGGACTAGAAAAAGTGTTAAAATGTAACACTTAACTAAACATTTGAACGATAATGAAAATGAGAAATGAAGAGGATGAGAAGTGATTAAAAATCAATTTTTTCCTTCACTCTCCTGTGCTGGTCACCGCTGAACTACTTCAGTGTCTATGAGGTACATTAGACAAGCAATTTATAATCTCTGTTCATCCAAAGTATCAGGAGAGAGTATGACACTCAAGAACTTCTACAGAACTTCTTTAGAAGCCTTAAACCCTTCGGATGTCTGGTTCCTATCACCACCACTGCGAACAATTCTGACTTGATACGTTTCTCGAGAGGAGCATTTCACATCAAATCACTCTGAATGATTGTTCACGTCTTAAATTATGCAGAAATTCTGAAAAATCAGTGTAATTTGCTACTAAGGCTTTTGGTGTCAATGAGTGCAAGTAGGCTTAGATGGTTTAGAACAGGCATGTCAAACTGGGGACCTTCTGGGTTGAAGTGCTGCAGAGTTCAGCGTTTACCCTCGTCTACCGCTCTAAATTCAGCTCATGAAGGCCTTGCTAATTAGCTGATGAGCTGAATCAGGTGTGTTTAACGAGGCAGTGCTCTGAAGTGTTTTGGCCCGCAAGGACTGGAGCCTGACGCATAGTTTAGAAGGTTTCCACAGGTAAAACTGATAACAGCTTAAGAAGGGATTTACGTAGGAACGTAAAAAAAAATGGTGCAAGTTCCTTCTTTGTGAATATTTCTTTTACTTCTTTGGAGATACGAGCTTTTGTTACATCAGCTACGATGTGCAAATACGGTCGATAATGGCTCAAGTGCAATGCTTCGTGATTCTTCTAAGAAAATAAACACATCATCTCTGCAACTCGTAACTAGTGGTCAAAAAGGTATTGTGTACATAGCCACAAAAGCGTCCACTTATCTAGAATGTGTAATGTACAAATTTTACCACCACCAAATATCGGTCAAAAAGAAAGGATGAACCGACAGATTAATGATGAGTCCAAACAGCTAGTGATATAAATAATGCTCCTCAATCATTGTGCGTTCATAGTCTCAGAAAGATCTTGCGTATGACTCAGTCCAGTACAGTCTGCTTGGTGAGGGGCCGTAGTTTAGCACCCTTGTTCTTTAGCTCGCTGTCCTCTGTGTACAGGTTGTGCTCTTTGATGTAGCTGATGACCGAATCTGGGATGAGATATTTGACGCTGAGGCCTCGCCGCAGGGCTCGACGGACCTCAGTGGCGCTGATCTCGTTGCGGATCCATTCATGAACCAAGAAGATGTTGTGTCGGTGCTTGTAGAGGAGGTCGGACTCATGCACGGCTTGTTCCAGCTGCAGCCCACTGCGGCTCACGCACACCAGGCCGAAGTGGCCCACCACCTCCTCGATGTGCTCGGCCCTCCACAGCCCGGGCACTTTGAAAGTTTCCAAGAAATCGGCACCGCAGAGCAGTTTCAGCTGGGGAGGACCTGCGGAAAACTCAGTCTGTTAGCAGAAAGCATGGACAAGGCAAAATGGCAGGCAAAGTATTAAACTTTCCTGCGTTTAGTTTTTTTCTTGAAGTTGACCTGTGAAAGTTATGTGGTTTTATGCAACAAAAACTGTCAGAATTATTTTCCAATGTCTTTTTCCAACATCAATTTAATGCCTTTAAGACTAATATACAGATGTATGCAAGTTTGAAACCGTGGTCAAATTATGTTTTTAAATCAAATTACGTAAATTTTAGTGCAAGATTTAAAAAAAAAATGGAGATAAATTTAGTCCAAAAAAGGCCAATTTTCCGCCCAATATGTTAAAATCTGCATATTAAAAAGTGTAACTAAATTGTTTTCACTTTACAAATGAACAAAACGTGTTATTTGGCCAGGTGCCCAAACTTTTGCATACAACTATGTATGTTGATGACCTCTGTTCTGACCGCTTTACAAATGCTCTGCATGGTGCTACACTTTTTGTCACTTCAGCATGAATGGCTGGGATAACCGGTAAATGTGTCCATGGTCGTGACATCACATGATTTATCCAAAAAGTGCTGCGTGTGCAGATTAGTTTCTATGCACAGTTGTATGCAAAAGTTTAGGCGCTCCTGGCCAAATGACATATTTTGTTGATTTTCGAAGTGCAAAGAAAGAGACACGTGTGCAGCAAACTATTTTAAAATGATATTTTTTCTGTAAGTGTTAATGCACAGTTACTTTATATCTGATTAACTAAAAAACAGTGATTGTAGCATGTAGAAAAGTTTGGTGATTCTAACTGTAAAGTCTTCCAGCTTGCAATTTCTTTTATCTGAAATGTCATTAAGAAGGAGAGCTGTGGAAGTCAAGACAAGATCTGGAAGCCCTTTGGAATTGCTTGCATGCTGGCCAGAAAGGCAAAGCAAAACCCCCATATGACTGCAAAGAACCTGCAGAGTTTAGCTGACACAGGAGTGGTGATGCACTGTTTAACTCAGAAGCATGATCTGCATGGAAGTGTCATCAAAAGGAAGCCTTACTTGTGACCTCATCACGAAGCTCAACATCTGAAGAATGCAAAACAACATCTAGATAAGCCAGAGGCAATTTGGAACAAGTGCTGTGGACCGAAGTAAAAATGAAACACTCTGGCTACACTCACCAAAGGTATTGGGACAAAATGAGCGGCATCTGATGAAAAGAACACCTTGCCAACTGTTAAACATGCACTGTCGTTGTGTGGCAGCCAGTGTCACAGGAAACACTGAACAGATAGATAGAAGAAAGGACTCCACCAAACATCAACAAATTCTTCAGGCCAGTGTGAAGCAATCAGTCAAAAGAAGTGAAGCTTCAACAACAGGACAATGATCCAAAACATACCTCAAAATTCACAAAGAACTACTTCAAGAAACACAAGCTGAAGCTTTAAGAATGGTCCTGAAAGTCCCTGATTTGAACATCACTGAACATCTGTGGGTAGACCTTAAACATGCTGTGTGTTCTTAGATGGCCTAAGAATATCACAGAACTGTTCTGCCAGGAGGAGTGGGTGAAAATTCCTAAAAAGAACAGAAAAACTCCTAGTTGGTTACAAAAAAGGGTTTGCAAGCTGTGATATCAGCCAAAAGGGAATGTTAAGTACTGATGATAGTAGGATCCACCTTCATGGCCCTGAGTGCATTATTTACTCAAATTAAACACATCCTTACTTGGGTTACTCTACTGTTTTCCAGTTTTAGGAGGATTCTGTAGGTTTGTCGTGAAAACACTAAATACTAAAATACTCGACTTAGGCCTGAGAGCAGCACAGCATGCCAAGCCAAGAATCTAGTTTTGCTAAAGTCTGTATAATGAAGACAACTTAACAGTTAACTGAACATCGTCTTTGAAAACAGCTCTTTAGACCTAATATTGCAGGTTATTTGTTTTGTGGATAGCTTGGCCTGCCTGCTTGATTCACAGTCTGTTGTCCACACACTACCGCAGAGCATAGAAGTTTATCTTTGTGACTGTTGAACCTGTTCATTAAGAATTATAAAGGCCACTATGAGATCAACTAATGGTCCATTTGCTCTGATTACACAGAATATGAGTTAAGTACACACTCTATACAGGCAATGCCAGACATTAACTAAAGGAAAATGCCTGTGCACAAATGGCACAGTGTCTAGATTTCAGTCACTCTTCTTTCTTTCCTTAGTGCAATCATTAATCCATCTCATCTAAAGAATGTCATTTATTTCAAGGTGAGTAGGCTGCATTAATTTCTTTTTCAAATTAGCATGAAAACTTATGAGCAGGACTACCAGTGTCATGCACATTTTCCAATTAACAACATTTTTAATCTTGGCTAATTAGCCATTAGATTTTTGTTTCTTTTGCAGTGCAAGGTGGTGGAGGTGATTAATAAGAAAATCTGAAAGATGAGGAGGTGTGTGGCTGTTTATTGGCGGAAATATGAAGGACAGTATGTTAAAACAAGATCAAAGTATGTACACCGATCATTATGACCACCTCCTTGTTTCTACGCTCACTGTCCATTTTATCAGCTCCACTTACTATATAGGAGCACTTTGTAGTTCTACAGTTACAGACTGTAGTCCATCTGTTTCTCTGCATACTTTGTTAGTCCGCTTTTACCCTGTTCTTCAGTGGTCAGGACCCTCATGGACCCTCATAGAGCAGGTATTATTTGGGTGGTGGATCATTCTCAGCACTGCAGTAACACTGACGTGGTGGTGGTGTGTTAGTGTGTGTTGTGCTGGTACGAGTGGATCAGACACAGCAGTGCTGCTGGAGTTTTTATAGCAGAGCTGAGACAATAAGCAATTTAGATCTGTTACAATCTGCAAATCTGGACAAAATGGTTTAATAGTATCAACAATTTCATTATCCAAAACCAGTTATTTACAGCTGTATTCTGTATATGTAGGACAGTTTCTGTTTAGGTCTTCACCTTGAACTTTTTAGCAGAATGGGCTGTTACTCAGTGTTTGCATGTTTGAGAGCACTGGCTAAAAGAAAAATGACACCCTTACTAGTTGACGAATCAATACTTTCTTCCTGTTTGTCGTCTTCTCGGACTGTGTTCAATAAAAGAGCACATTGGACCTGATGTGAGGGTCTAAAACTGGGGTAATGGTCCAAAACTGGGCATGTCAGTGTAATGATTGACAGTGGCGTCCCAGGCAACAAAAAACAACCCAGTGCCAGTTGTACTGATGAGCGACATCACCAATCAGTGGGGTTCGGCCCTTTAACTTTAAAAACCGGGGTATGAAAATAGACCACTTTACTCTCCTCAGCTGGTTCTTGAATGAACAATAAAAAGTGCAAAATGGAGAACAAGCAGTCTAATGGCCTTTTCATATATCTAAATACATTTTGCAGCTAATGTTCGAGAACTCGGGCCTTCATCTTATGACAGCAGATCACAGACAAACTGTGTCCGATATCAGAACGCTTAGCACCACGTTCCATCCGTAACCTATAACTCGCTAACTGATGACTGAGGTCACACAAGCTCCTATTATGAGTGGGCATGGTCATATTTGCGGACACAGTGGAGAATTTTCTCATGGGCCTTATGTTGTGCCACGTCTGTAAAGTAAAAAGATTTTAGGGTGGAGTAGCTAAAGTAATACTAAGCCAATGTACAACCCCATTTCCAAAAAAGTTGTGACACTGCGCAGAATGTAAATAAAAATAGAATGCAATGATGTGCAAATCATGTAAACCATATTTGTAAAGGAAAATACTACAAAGACAACATATCAAGTGTTAAAACTGAGAAATTTTATTGTTTTTTGAAAAATATATGCCCAATTTGAATTTTGAACAAAAAAGTTGTGACGGGGGCCTGTTTACCACTGTGTTTCATCACCTCTTCTTTTAACAACACTCTGTAAGCGTTTGGGAACTGAGGAGACACTGCTGTAGTTTTGAATGTCAATATTTTCCCATTCTTGTTTGATATATGATTTCAGCTGCTCATCAGTTTGGGGTGTCCTTTGTCATATTTTTCATTTCAAAATGCGCAAAATGTTATCAGTGGGTGACAGATCTGGCCTGCAAGCCTATACCGTCACGGATGCTGGCTTTTGAACTGCGCACTGATAACAAGCTGAGTTGTCTTTAGCCCAGAGGACACAGTGTCCATGATTTCCAAAAAGAATTTAAAATGTTGATTTGTCAGACCACAAGACACTTTTCCACTTCCCCTCAGTCCATTTTAAATGAGCTCGGGCCCAGAGAAGGTGGCAGCATTACTGGATCCAGTTTATTTATGGTTTCTTCGTTTTAGAGTTTTAATTTGCATTTGTGGATGTAGCAACAAACTGTGTACAGAAACAGTGGTTTTCGGAAGTGTTCCTGAACTCATGCAGTGATTTCCACTACAGAATCATGTCTGTTTTTTTGGCCTTGTCCCTTGCATACAGAGATTTCTCCAGATTCTCGGAATCTTTTAATGTTATTATTTACTGTAGACGATGAAAAGTTCTGTGCTGTTTTATGTTGAGAAATATTATTCTTGAACTGTTGAACTATTTGATCATACAGTCTTTCACAGAGTGGTGAACCCCTCCTCATCTTTACTTCTGAAAGACTCAGCCTCTCTGGGATGCTTTTTTGTTTTTTATACCCAATCATGTTACTGACCTGTTGTCAATTAACTAGCGGCTGTTTTCTTTAACATTACACAACTTTACCAGCCTTTTGTTGCCCCCGTCCCAACTTTTTGGGAGCGTGTTGTTGGCATCAAATTCAAAATTTCAAAAAACAATAAAATTTCTCAGTTTCAACATTTTATGTGGTGTCTTTGTACTATTTTCAATGAAATACAGGGCTTAAATGATTTGCACATCATTGCATTTTATTTTTATTTACATTTTGCACAGCTTTTTTGGAAATGGGGTGGTACAATTTTATTTATACAGTTAAGTTAGACCGCTAGCTCTTGAGCTCTTATTAATGAAGTTATTTACTTATATCAGGATCCTGCAACAGGTGGCTAACGCAAGTAGGGAGCAGTGCCTAGTGCAATGAACAACGGTGTGGTAAACCTTCATAACATGCACTGTTAACAAATTTAGAAAAGCTTAAACAACCTGCTTACTGGGAGTTTTGTCTGTGACTCTGAGCAGCAGGAGAGCAGTCACTTTATGTGAGGGAGAGGAACGCGAGTAGCTGACGTATACATATTGCTAACTCTGATTGGTGCTTTGGCAGTTCTGATATTTAGTCCCACCCAACTCAAATCTAACTTGAGAAAATGGCAGAAAAACTTGTTTAAAAAAGACCAACATCATTCTTTCTCTGCCAGTTTGTAGAAAAAAAATCACTAAAACTACAGATAATAGTTGGAAGAAAATCCAATTTGGAAGAGATTGAGTAGACAGAGATTTTGAACATTACATCCGCTTTTTTAATTTGTAAAAATCGACTTGCTGTGAAAAGATCTCAGGATAAATACGAATTACACTACGGCTCAGGACAAAAGATACTGCTTTTAATGCGGTTTACTCTGTGTAGCAGCAGTAAATAAAGAAAAATCTGGACTGGGGTTTAAAAAATGGAGCAGAACGCTCATGCATACCGAATGGATGGAAAACACATAGATTAACTGAACAGTAACAAGTCTTTCAGAGATTCCAAGAAACCAGGACGACTTAATTAAAGATAAATAAATCAACAAAAACACTGAGGCAATAAATTATGCTTCTTACTGTAACAGACAGCAGATGGAACAACTGCAAACTAATCACTGCTGAGTCATCAAAAAGGTACACTTTCATTGAGTAATTGTGACAGTCCTAATTCTATGAATCTTAGCTCCATTTGTAGTATGGGCAAGCTTGTCAGCAGCCTGGTAATTCTGTTGTCCATGCTTCTTAGCATGCTCTTTTAAATTCCACACAAATGAACCAGCACAACAAAAGACTCCTGACAGAGCTGGGAGTGGCCAAAGGGAAAAGAACAGCCTGTTTTTAGATGCAGCTGATGAACTTGGCAATTTATGCAAGAGAAAAGGGCCTGGGAACAAGGAAAAAAACAGTGAACGGTGAAAGAAAAGTGGCCAGATTTCTACACCAGCTGGGCAGAGGTATTAAGAAATGGGCAGGGCTTACCAGAAGCAGAGGGTTGATCTAGAGGTGTGTCCTTTGTGCTTGGCCAGCATTTCTCTGCTGCACGGCTGTAGTGGTACCTGCAGTTGAAAGAGCAAGACGGAAACGTGTGAGCGTGCAAACACACAAACACATCAATGAATGCATTGTTTTAATAATCATCTTATGACTGTGGACCCAAGTATCGCACCAAATCAAAGGTGCCCATATTGTGCTGTAAGCGGCTTCAGGTTTCGGGGAATGATTAGATTCGACAGTGAGCCCTTCAGAGGGTGGGTTCATATGAGTGTGCGTGTGTGTAATATAGGTATGAATAGAAAGAATGTATAGTATATCGTACATTCTCAAAAAGTCAGAGATCACCCTGCATTACTTAGTGTCCAATTAGACTAGCTAGGAAGCACAAGTTGATCATTATTAAGTGAAAAACAGGAGGTCAACAAATTCTTAAAAGACATCGAAAACTCCTAACTCCTAACAACCATGCAAGACCTAGTAGGCCACCGAAACTGTCACCATCAGATAAACAGCACTTAAAGTTTTCATCTTTGAGAGAGAGGAGAAAATCAATCTCTACTGTTGCTTCAGATCTGAGAAAATCCACGGTGTTTCTGTCCATCCTTCCACTGTGAGCAGACAGCTCAACAATGTGTAGCGGTCAAGAAGCTGTTACTGAGAAAAGGAAATTTGCAAATCAAAACAATCAGAACAATGGACCGGCCACCTCAAAGTCCAGACCTTGACATTACTGAATGTGTTTGGATCGCGAGGTGCAGAAAATGCAACCAACTTCTTAGACTGAACTTTGGAGGTGTATAAAAATAGTCCTGCAAATTTCTTCAAAAAACTGTAAAAATGAGCCTCCCGAAAAGAATGAAATCTGTAATAAAGGTAAAGAGTGGACACAGTAAATACTGAAAAAAATGATATTATATTCAGTTTTCGTAACTACTATGTAATTTTCTGTTAACTATGTTATTTATTTATTAACGACACTGGAAAATGAATAACTTCTACTGAACACTGGAAATCTGACTGGAAATTAAGTAAAAGACAGGTGGTCTCTGACTGTACTGTATATACCAGGGTCGGCAACATGTGGCTATTTTACTGCCCAGTTGCGGCTCCACAGCAGAATTTTTAGTTTTAGGTAAAAAAAAATAATCCTCCTTTGCAGTAAAATAAAGTTCTGCTGATCGTTCAACACAGTTTTAACACTAAACTGTCTTAAATGCTGGAGTTAATGTAGAACTGCTAATTCACCCTTTAACATTCAAGGTTGGCGTGCAGACTGCTTGTTACCAAGCAACGCAGACAACAGTCTTGCCTAGGTAGATAGTAACTAACGCAAAAAAGGCAAAGAGAAAGATTTAATATGCGAACATTGATAATTTGGAGGCGAATGAACTTATTGGCGTGTATAATCACTCCAGCTGGTCAAGTCAGCTTTATGTCAGCATTTTCCTGTTCCACCTTAAATGGTGCAGCAAGTGGGAAAATTAGAACAAGAAGCTGGAAAATGAGAAGCGACTTCAGCCTTGTAAAAAGTCGAACTTTGAGAGACATTTTACAAGAAACTGTTCTACTTTTGGAAAAGTTTCCTGTCGGAGATGTGAGAAAAGCAGCTATAGCTGAGCTAAAGCTTAAAGCAGAGCAAAGTAAGTCTGTGTTTCGTTTATATTTATATTTATACTTTAGCACATACTGAGACATATTTACAGCCAAGATGGCAAAACAGACATAAAATATTGTGGCTCTCAAGGTTTCATTTTTGCTGAAAGGACAAAATGGCTGTTCTTAACATTTGGGTTGCCGACCCCTGGTATATTACGCTTGAAAGATCTTACAGGTATAAAAACAGATATATCTTGCTGCTAACAGCTACACACTCATATTTTATGTGCAGCTTGATTAGCGGTGTTCTACTGAAAATCGGTTGGACCACAGTCAAAAAATGGCCATGTTAATTCTACAAGTTGTGCATAATGAGAGGAAGAGGAAAGAGGAAAAGATCATAACCCAACTGGTTATGATCTTAATATTAGGAGCATACAATTATATCACAATCATATCAGTATTGACAGACAACTGCTTAAAAAATCAATAAGTAAGAGTTACACTGATGGTTGTATTTGTTAGCCTGTAGCTCAGTGGCAAGGCTACTGGTTGACACCACAGAGATTCCCAAAGGCTGTATGACGTACTGGATTGTAGTGAGAGAACACTGATGAATGAAAACATGAAAAGAATATAAAACTGAATGAAGCTGAGGGACACAATGCTGTACTAAAGAATATTGCATAACAACAAATAATGTATTAATATCTATTTTTAGGCCACAATGTCTCTTTAATATAGCCAATAAAAATACATTGACATTTGCCTTGATCAGCTACCTAGAAAAAAGTTCTGTATAAAATTTGACTACATTTTGAATCTGCGAATGTTATTTACTAAGGTTGTGCTCTGACTTTTGAGACTACTGTACGGGGGATATTTTGTATTGCCCTCAGTCAGGCATCTGTTTTGAAACCCTAATAGATAAATCTGCAGCTACAAAAACCTTTCTGCAAACCTCCTGTCAGTCAGTCAGCAATAACCGGCAGATAACAGGCCGTCTCTCGAGCTTTGATAAAGTGAATCAATTTTGTTTGGCTCCATAGCAAAACTGGAGAAAAAGAAATGTAATGCCATAGTGGGCGATGCAAGGACCCATTCATCTGAGTCTGTTAATTATCTTGGCAAGGTATTAGATCACTTCTCACCAAGGGAGAATGCTGCACAATAGGGTTTCTCCAAAGTGAATCATAGTGTCACATTTTGGCAAGAGTAAGTGAATCTTGGAAAGAGAGGCATTACACACAGGGGCTCTTGTTCAAAGGCATTTGGATTATGCTTCCACTGCCTGGCTTAATAGTGCACCCGAGGTCACTAGAAATAAGCTACAGACTAAATTCTGCAGAACTGTGGAGGACTAAAACCTTATAAAACCACAAGTGTATTATACTTTCACCAATTTTTTACCAACGGAAAGTATGCTAAGACGTTCAAGGGAGTACAATCAGGGCTTTCATACTGAATGAAAACTGTTGCTTAAACAAAAACTAGCCGTGAAAAAAATGTACTCGTTAAGTGTAATAAGAGATACAGGGAACTTTCACCGATCCTTCCACAAAAAAATTCCATAAGGCAATTATTAAGAAACAATAAACAAAGTCATATTAAAATGCTATGTTCCAGGAAAAAAACCTTCAGAACTGTTCACTGTGGTGGTGATAGCAACCAGACGTCTGAAACGTCTATTTGCATCCAAAAGCTCCCTCTGATAGTTGTGAGATAAATCTGAGGTACAATGTATTTTTTAAAATCCATTCAGGGTGGGGAGGTTCATGTAAGGCATTCTAAGGCAAAATAGTCCCTCAAGAAACTTTTCTTTCTTTTTTTCAGATTTATGACTATTTTACCATCATCAACATTACAGATAAAAACACAGAACACGTACACATTCACTGGTTATTTTGGATAGTAGATAAAATGTCTATATTTGTGTTGTAGACACGGGACCCCTGGTTCCTATCACCACCACTGTAAAGAAAACAGACTTTACAATGAAGCATTTCACATCAAACCACTCTGAATGACTCTGTCAATCTCAACCATTGAATTATGCATATAATTTTTAGGCATATATTTTGAAAAATTGGTGGAACTCCCCATTAATGCCGCCAGTTTTCAAAAACGCAAAAACAAAATCAAAACTATAAAGTTCATTCCAAGAAGATTAGAAGAAAAACAGTATTCTGGAGGAAAAAACATTATTTTTTGTGTTTTTCAACGTATGAAGGACAGTCCAGAAGTCGGCCGAAATCTTAAATACCCAGGTGATGACGATGCCAGTGAAAAATGTACACCAACGTTGATGGTTTTGGCGATGACTAAACATTAGTCTCCTGTCTTAGCACTGCTAAACTCATCAAAAGAAAAACAAAAGTTCATTAATAATGCACAGATGCACCGATGATGTGTTTAGATGTTATGTTGGAAAAGCACATTCAGGAATTTCTTAACATACAAGAAAAGTTAAAAGTTGGTTAATTTTTTGACTTTATTAAAGAATGTCAGCAGATATTACTGATAATCAGAATTTTCACATTGCTCAAACATGTCTAGCATCAGAATCAACAGATTGTTGCTTCAAATGCACAGTTTAATATTGTTATTCTGGCTGATCTGTGTTGCAATGTTATTATATAAATAACGTAATGCTGTTTTTTTGCTGTATTTCAATTCTGCTGCTTCACCTAGCCCATGGGTCAGCAACCCTATGGTAAGAAGAGCTACTTTGTCTTTTCAACAAAAATCAAACCACCTTGGGAGCCACACCATTTTACATCCAACTTAACATCTTGATGATAAATACGTCTCAGTATGTGCTAATGTACTTTGCTCTGCTTTAAGCTTTAGCTCAGCTATAGCCGCTTTTCTCACATCTCCAGCAGGAAACGTTTCCTCAAAAGTAAAATGTTTTCTTGTAAAATGTCTCTCAACATTTGATTTTTAACGAGGCTGAAGTCAGCTTCTCATTCACAAGCTTCTTGTTTGAATTTTCCTGTTCCACCTTAATGGTGCCTGAGGCGCCAGAATGTAATTGCTGCACCTCTTAAGGTGGAACAGGACAATTTGAACGAGAAACTGACTTCAGCTTCGCGACTTTTTAGTGTTTGACAGTTTCTCGTTGCAGATTAAACGTATCAGGAAACCAGCCTGAGTGATTATAAATGCATGCAAGTCCATTGGTCTCCAAATTATTAATGTCCACCTCAAATGTTTCTCTTTGCCTTTTTCTTTACCTACTAGCTAGACGAGACTGTTTGCATTGATATGTGGCCAGCAGTCTGCACGTCAAACTTCACGAGCTTGATGAATTATTTACAACCATTTATTGTTAAAACTGTGTTGAACGATCAGCAGAGCTTTATTTTACTACAAAGGAGGTTTATTTTATTTTTACCTAAAATTCTAATTCAGGACAGTAAAAGAGGCACATGTGGCTCCAGAGCCCCATGTTGCTGACCCCTGA